AACAAAGACTACAAGTGTTCTGAATGTGAGACCATATCGGAGATGTAAAAGAACATGAGAAGAATAGATCGTTCAGGGATTCTTCGGATGAGACACAGTGAGCAATGATTTGGGATATGTTTGTAAGCCACTGAATGGCAGTCGAGGGTAGCTAGGTAGTCTATTGAGTACAGCTAACCAAAGATTAATGCACTGTGTGTCTAGGGATGGACATTGAGTCCAAACCAACTGGTATCACGGAGCAGGGGACAGGCATGCCTAAGGATTCGATGGTGTGATTGAGAGTGTATTTGCCATTAGGTGATCGCCTCCAATTTAGATTTAGTTTTCTCATATAGGAATCAATCAATAACCATCTCAAATCCTTACACAGTAATATGTAAATATATATATAAATTGATGTCAGTGATGAGAGGCAACAACTCAAGATTTCATTTCAATTTTTTTTTTTTTTTTTTAAACAGCTAGAATCTTCTCTAAACTAGACAAGCTTTCCTGCAAAGAAATGTAGTTGAGCAAAATGAGTTTGGGCATTTTGATCTGTTACTTTGTTACTAATTGTAGTGAGCTTGAGTTTCCATTTATTCTAGGAACGGGACACCCAAAATTTTAAAATTGTATAAAAATCTGGTGTCATTCTTAACCTGTCTTCCGGTAGTGACTTAATTTACACCTCAATTGAGAATTTGTGAAGCAAAAGATAATGGGAAGTAAAAACCTTGTCTGCCTTCCTATTTTTCTTTGCTTCCTAATCCTTCAGCAATCTTAAAAAAAATGCCACAATCTTTCTTCTTCTACTACTGAATATTTCCGATCAAGTAAAACAAGGCTCCCCATATAAGTATCTAAATGAGACGAGTATTGAGACCAACGGATTCCAAGATTGACTTCTTGCTGTTCACGGGATCAAATGAAACCAGATCCCACTCGTCGAATACGAACAGCTCCCCCTTACTCTTTGCCACAAGAATTTCACCAGTTTTCCTCCGTCCCAAAACTTTGCCTATTTGTCGTCCAACAGTGAATAATTTGGTCAAAGACTCCACTACACCATACTCTTTCATAACCAATACACAATATTCCGAAATTTCTCCATCACGACTGAATAGAGATAGAGATTCTCCGAAATTCGAAATTGACATGGCAGTGTTGTTAGCAACACCATCTGGAAACATCACCTCGCGAAAAACCTCAGAAGCCATATCGAACGACAAAATCAAGGGCGAAATATCTAGCCAATCTCATCCGTGACTTATATACATATATATAAAGAATGAAATAATTAATGATCTTTTAGATTAAAATTAGTTAATGATCATTTGAATAAATGAATTAATATTGATAAGTTGAAAAGTAATAATATCATATTAGGTTATTTGGAAAAATCCCAATCCGTAGATCTGATCGGATTCGATCCGATCTAATTTGTCATTTCACATATTGGTGGCGCATTCAGATTTTTTCAATTAATTGGGACTGAATCGAATCAGGATTGATATCTAATCCGATCAGATATGTGGCCACCCCTAACTTTAACCCTATACTTTAGTATGTGAGAAATTACGCTTCAACCCTTAATGTTATCTCTAAAAGTCTCTCTCTCTTTTCTAATGTCTATTTCTCTCTTTTCCTTCAAATATATGTAAATTTACTCTTAAAATCTTGAAGTTGTCATTTTCTTCTCAGTTTTTTTTTTTGTATAATTTCTTTGTATATTGTACATATTTATTAGTATTGAGGTATTGTTTGTGAGTGGTACTTGGGATCAAGTCTTGGATCTTATATTTATTAGAATAACCATAATGTATGTTTATATATATATATAATCGCCATCTTCCCAATTGAGGATTTTGATCTGTCCTTTGAATTCAAATGTGGTAGATTTTAGACTTTCAATAGTAATGATTATTTATCTTTTATTTTGCCAATTTTTAGTCATACATATTGAATTCAAATCCACCATGAATTTGAGCATTTGCAGAGAAGAAGATGGCGATTACATATAGCTCACCTGGTTAAGTGTCCACCATTTACCATCTATAAGTGGATTTAATTTTCTTATGTGAGAACTGATCAATAAATCAATCAATAACCACCTAAATCCTTACATATATATATAGTTAGATGTTTTGTACACAAATGGTCATTTCTTTTTGAAAATATGTATTTCAGTTCATAAAATTTAAAAAATGTGCAAATAAACCCTCCTAACCACTTTTTGGTCAAAATTAATTTAAAAACTCTAATTTGCCCTTTTCTCTTCTTATTCTACCATTTTCTAAGAGACTGCTTCTCTCTTACGCCCCTCATCACAACCAGTGGTGCATCACAGTGCGTTCAGCGAAGGTGTAAGTCGACGCCTCCGACGATGATCGTGCTAGCAGTGGATTGTTGATTGCCGGTAAACAAAGCCGGCAAGATTACAGAGCTTCGGCAACCATGGCTTAACAATCAGTTCAGGCTTATGGTTGTCGATAGTGAAGAAGAGGGCGAAGGGAGTGCAGCAGGTTATGGTTGCCGACGGTGAAGGGTATTGGCCACCGAAGATCAGAGTGATGAGCTCGTGCAGTGCATGTATACGGTTAGATCTTCGCGCATAGATGTTGAGACTGGTTAGGTCAATGCAATGGCAACCACGGCGCCGTTTTGCCAGAAGATGAAGATGGTGACACCGATGATGACACAGTTGACGAAGATCTTGAAGGAATTTTTTTTGACATGATGGTGATGCATCGGCCATAGGCTAGGGTTTTGATCTTGGTGCTAAATGCTAACTTGCACTGGAGAGGTGGAGGAGATGCGACGAACATCGAGATAAGGATGGTGGATGTCCATCGCAGGTTGACTGGTTGGTGTGGCTGTCCGGCGCGGGAGTGACAGTCGGTCGAAGCACCTCTACTGAGACGATAGAGAGGTGGAGAAGATGCAACGGACAATAGGAAAGAGTGGATTTAGGCTGTGGCTTTAGGCCAAATATGTATATATATTTTTTGGTAAGTTGATATTCCAAAATTAATCCTCCTGCATTTGCCAAGAGTGAGAATGAGTGCTCTGAACACTGAATCAAAGGAAATTGCCTAAAATGGTAATTTTACATTGTCTGATTTTTGTAAGGACAATATTTACAGCATACTCACCTGATTTTTTACATTGCCTGATTTCTTTTTAAGGACAACCAATAATAAATGGACACGTCCTATTTTAATTACTAATTATAGATGGTAATCAAATTACTATCTCTAATTTAGTAAGTGAATATTTACCCACTATATTTGATTTGGAAATTAATGATCACATGTAAATTTATTATTGGTTTACATGGTTCTATATTATTAATTTGGTACAATTACTCCTCTGTTCGCATAAAAAGATATTAAAACCCTCTTGTCAATAAAATGAAATAATATTAAAAAAAGAACAATACTTATGTCTTTATTAGTTAATGGACCTACAATATACTCACGGTTATTGTGAACCAATAATAAATGTACACGTTTTATTTTAATTACCAAATCATGGTAATCAATCACTATCTCTAATTTGATAAGTAAATAACAACCCACCATCTTTGATTTGGTACTCAACGATCACATGTCAATTTATTATTGGTGTAGTTTTTTACACTTAACTCTACATAAAAATATACATATATTGACATCTGTAATAAGATCCAAAACTCAAGATTTCAGTTCAATTTTTTTCTAAACTATGTAAGCGTCCCTGAAAATAAATGTAGTTGAGCAAAATGGGTCTAGGCATTTTGATCTGTTACTTCGCTATCTCTCATAAATCTGATCTGTTACACAAAAAATGACTAATAACTAAATACAATGAGCTTCAGTTTCCATTTGTTCTGGGAACTGAAAATTTCATTTATTATCCATGATTAAAGGGGCTTTCTTTTTTTTTTTTTTTTTTTTTTTTTTTTTTTTTTTTTTTTTCCGGGAAGTAAAAACTAACAAGCCATTCTTCATTACTTCTCAGATTGCTAATGCATCATCCAAGTTGTTCTGATGTATAATTGAACTTGCTTTTTGTAAGGATGTTTTCACAATTTTGAGAAAGGAGACATTATCAACAAATTAAAGAGGGGATTAAACAATTTTACCTGATTGATGAATAGGCCTTAGAATACCTTGACAATACTTTAAAAGATCCTTAAGAGTACTCTATCCCTTTTACATATACAACAGCAGGGAGACGATTCTCTACAAAGAAAAATACCAAAGCCTCCCTTCCAGTCATGAAAGATTAGATATCAATGAGTAAGATTAAATTCCACCAAATAACATTGAAAAATCACAATATCACAACCCCATAACACAAAAATATACGGTCAATTAAATCACAAATTCATAAGTATAACCCCAACGTATCAAGTATCCATAATCACAATATAGATTCAATTTTTAAAAACTTTTTGTTTCAAGTATAAGAAATCAAAATCATAATAATACCGAATTTGAACATTCTCTAAAAAAACACAACTGGCATCTCAATACTTACAAAATAACAAGACTTGTACAATAAATAATCGCCTTTTTAATCTTGAACCTTAAATTAGCATGGGAACCCATTCAGAAGTAACATTGGTAGATAAATTTGATTGCCACATAAAATCCCACATATTCATAACTATTCATTTCCGGATCTACAACTTTTCAAATACTATGTAAGAACAAAATTTTAAAAATCTATAAAAATCTAGTGTCATTCTTAACCTGTCTTCCCTCCTCACGTACCCGGCACAGACAATGCCGTACGTTGTAGTGACTTAATTTCCGCCTTAATTAAGAATTTGTGAAAAAAAAAAGATAATGGGAAGTATAAACCTTGTCTGCCTTCCTATTTGTCTTTGCTTCCTAATCCTTCAGCAATCTTAAAAAAAATGCCACAATCTTTCTTCTTCTACTACCGAATACAACTTAAAAAAAAAAAAAAAAAAAAAAAAAAAAAAAAAAAAAAAAAATTCTGAAACTGTATGCACGGTTCAACATGCCTTAATATTTCCGATCAAGTAAAACAAGGCTCTCCATATAAGTATCCAAACGAGGCGAGCATTGAGACCAACGAATTCCAAGATTGACTTGTTGCTTGTTCACTGGATCAAATGAAACCAGCTCCCTCCCGAAATCGAATGAAAGCAGCGCCACCTTTGCCACAAGAATTTCACCAGTTTTCCTCAGTCCCAAAACTCTGCCTATTTGTCGTCCAATAGTGAATAATTTCGTCCAAGACTCCACTACACCGTACTCTTTCATCACCCATATACAATATTCCCATAAATCTCTATCATAAGTGAACAGAGATAGAGATTCTCTGAAAATCGAAATTGACATGGCAGTTTCGTTAGCAACACTAGCTGGAAACATCACCTCGCGAAAAACCTCAGAAGCCATATCGAACGACAAAATCGAGTTGGGATTCTCAATTAATAGCCAATGAGAAGCCCCTTTAACAAAAACACTCTCATCATAATAGGAACAACTTTTTTTCCCACTAGACATGTTATATGGAGGAACAGCACTAATGGCTCTCGACAAACCAGTGCTTATCTCATAAACCTCAGCCACAGGTGGAACCATAAAAATCTCCGTGTCCAAATCCAAAAACTGAAACATTCTAATAACCTTGAAGTCATTAGTACAAGAATTGAATCCAAACCCAACAAGAACGGTACAAGGAAATCGACGATCCGAGAGTGAACTAGGGGGCTTCGGAAGACGCAGGGTCTTTCTAATTGCCGGGTTCCAAACAACAACACCAGCGTTGTTGCGCAAACAAATCAACCCCTTACATGAACCCACTAGACTGTAATAAAGGTGTGACAACATATTATAAGAACTGTCGAGAGTCATACATTCATCAAATGTTTCGTCATCGAAACGTACTGAGTAGTGATCTTTCTGGTCAGCGTGAGAGCGGTACCTGAGTAGTAATTGAGTCTTCTTCTTGTCTGCAGTAGTTCGATTGATGTGTGCTGTGATGAAATTAGGGTTCTTAGAACGTTCCATGATTTGCAAACGCATGTGAGGTGCACGATAGCCTTGATCGGTAATCTTGTGAAGATTTCAGTCAAGAGTTCTTCGGGTAGCTTGTCCAAGAAGGACATCGTTAATCTCTGGCCACTCATTGTCAAAACCCTAAAATTTGAGAACCGAAAAACTATGAGTTGGTGACGTTTTTACAGTGCTGGGATTAGGGCTGCAAGACAGGCAAGTTGAGCGAGTTGGTGTATAATAGCCCAATCCGACATTATAAAATGTTCAATGTTAATCAAACTCTAAGTAGATCTTTAACTTTAACCAGCAAACCCAAGCCCAATCATCGTTAGGATTTTGCAACTCGATTGGGTTGAGAATTCTGATTAGAAAGTCTGGTTAGTTTGAGCTACTCGGCCATATGAACAATCTCCACACTAAAAATTTAATTTAATGCAATTTTGAGTTAATTGTAAATAAATTATTCCATGAACACAAAAATATTTAAAAGTAAATTTTAATAAATTTCAAACAAGTTCTTAAAAAATTAGTTTCTCAATATCGTTAACATACAATAAATTAAGATTTTAAATTTTTTTTTTTTAGTTAGTACTCACACACGCGTACCTTCACCGAGATTTGAACATCTAACTTTCTTTTAGGAAGTAAGAATCGGGTACCACTAAGCCACTGACCTGTTAATATTTTTTAAAAAAAAAATTGAAAATGAAAAAAGGTGATCATAATTTAAATATTATATAATGTATTTAAATAATATATATACGAAAATAATATTAGAATTTAAGTTGGAACTTTTCAACACTCGACCAATCATAATTGTAAAAATAATTATTCAAACACGCGAAAAATCGGGTTGGATTCAGGTTACCCAACCAAGTTGCACCTCTGTACTAAAAGGAGTTATTATTTTTTGGATAAAGTACAAAAAAAACCCCTGGACTTGTAACATTTTTTAGTAAACCTCTTGTTTTATTTTTTACCAAAGAACTCCCATCAACTATCTGAATATGGTAAAAGAGTTGATATTTGAATTATAATGCCCTTTTATTTAAATCTTAATTTTTTCGAACTTCAAAAAAAAAAAAAAAAAAAAAAAAAATCCTTAGTTAGTACTCACACACCCATGCCTTCACTGAGGCTTGAATTCCTAATCTTCTTTTGAAAAGTAAGGGCTTGGTACCGCTAGGCCACTAATCTGTTTGTCCGAAATTCAAAAATTCATATCTCACAAACCGTACATTTAAAAATTATAAATAATATATGCAAGGAAAACTTACGAAATAAGGATTTCATAAATATAAGATTTGTACAACAAACCTTCATAATCAGAGAGAAATAGACAATCTAAAAATCTACTCTAACAATCTTTTTTTATTTTTTAAAAATAAAATACTCGAGATATTTACAAGAAAATTTTCAAAATTATTCATTTATATATAGAGCCAAATATATAAAAAATTTAGTCCCAACAAAGATCGATTTCACGAGACATCATACTTTGCATCAAAAGTATTTTCATTATTTTATAGACTCACTTTTTAAAAAATAAAATAAAAATGAATATTCGGTCTCTATTGGGGCTAATTTTTTTATATGTTATGCTCAATATGAATTTTCTTTTTTGCAAATGACCCGAGTATTTTATAAAAAATAAAATAAAATAAGATTGTTGCAATAGATTTTTATATTGTCTATTTCTCTCTGGTTATGAAGTTTTGTTAAACAAATCTTATATTTTTGGAATCCTTGTTTTATAAGCTTTTTGTGCATATATTATTTGTAATATTTGGATGTACGGTTTGTGAGATATGAATTTTTAAAGTTTGAAAAAATTAAGATTTAAATAAAAGAGCATTTTGATCCAAATATCAACTTTTTTATCTCCTTAGATAGTTGAGAGGAGTTCTTTGGTAAAAGAAAAAAAAAATTAGATGAGGAAGATTTATTGGAAAGGGTTACAAGTCGAAAGGGTTCTTTGATAAAAAATTAGGCGAAGAGGTTTATTGGAAAAGATGACAAGTCGATGGGGTTTTCTGTATTTTAATTAAATACTAGTTTGACCAATTAAAAAAAAAAAAAATTGGAAACGATATTATTGTGATGTTTAAGCACAATTGAATTATTTTTTTTAGTTTTTTCACATGAGAATTTAAATAATTTGTAAGAATCACTCAAGAAATTATAATTAAATATAAGTTCAACCGATTTAATGAAAATATTGAATGAATTTGTGGATAAATAAGAAGCAATGTTGACCTGGTGACGGTGGTGATAGAGTAGTGGGCTAGCTTTGGTGTTGTTCTGTGCCTTGGGTTATTTTGTTTGGTGTTATTTTTCTTTGGGCTTGTGGATTGCCGGCTTGTTGGGCCGCTGTCCTCCTTGTACCGTTCTTTTGTTCAAAGAATTTGTTTACTGAAAAATATATATATAAATAAGAAGCAATGTTATACTTGAGTTGATTGTTTAGTAAAAAAAAAAAAAAAAAAAAAAATGAAAAAGAAAAAGGAGAATATACATTCACAGATTAATTGAGCAAATGGATAAAATGATAAAAACTATAAAGCATGAATACTTTTAGATCTCTAACCATGAAACTGTAATTTTCCATAGGATTTAATACCAATTTAAAGTTAATTTTGAGATAATTTTGAGTTGACTATGTTACACAAATTGAGTCAGTGGGCCAGTAGCGCCTATAGTTTGAGTCCTTTTGTGGACATTTGTGTATGCCCATAACACTTGCCTAACCCAAAAAAATTTTAAAATGAGTTAGTTTTGAAAATTAGGTCTGCTAAATTCAGTTTTTTAAAAACAACTCTTAAAAGCCAGATAACAGAAACTGTGTTTTAAGAAAATATATACTTGAGAATGTATTTTTATTTATGCTAATTATTTAAGAAAATTAAAGCTGTGACTGGGATAAAAAAAAATAAGAAAAGAATCTAAATTCTAACCCAACTACTTTTTCTTTGTAAAGAATTTGCAATCACAAACCCATGAGAGAAAATATAGTTCACAAACTCAAAAATGAACAAAAATGCCCCTTTCATTTTTTCTTTGAACGTAGGTGCCACTGTGTCATGAACTGCAAGTAATTAACTGCACAAATTTAGCCTACATTACTAATACCATCTATTTCATTACAATTTTTTGTTTTCTTTTGCATTTTGATCTCTCCTACACTGCAATTACAATTACACATTACGACTTTGGGACACAGAAAAATGATACTACTATTTTTCTTCTATTGTTCTTCTAGGCTTAAAGTTGGACCACTACTCTTTTGCTACCTGTTGACTATCAGCAGCATTACAGGAGATGTCATTGTTGCCTTCCTTTTTGGACCGCGTCTTCGGCTTCCTCGGTATGCACCTTGCCTTTACTCCGTCTATCTCCTCGATAAGGTCCAATTTCGAGCACCTGAAAAGATCAATCCATGAGTAATGAAGTAAATCAAAAGTGTGTGTGTGTGTGTGTGTGTGTGTGTGTGTATATATATATATATATATATATGTATCACGTGACATGTGAAGAAATTAGTTGAAATGCACAACTGGAATATTTTGTGCTCATGTGGGCTGCTTTTGAATGCTAGCTACTGCATCTGCTTAAGGTCCCGTTGCTTACAGCCACATAAATTAATTTCTTACCAGGAATTAATAAAAATGAGGAATGTCTTCAAGATTGTGTTCATATATATGCAATCAAGAAAATTGGAGCAAATTAAGCATGACATGGGAATTACTTATTTTAATTTTTAACACCGAAACCTATACACATGGTTAACTCGTCAGAAGTAATTTACCACCATAAGTTTGATGATCCCAACATTCATGATCTAAATCTTTTCATTGGAAAACCCCATGAAATGCTCCTTAAGAAAATCATTGCTTTTGAACTTGAAAGCCATGGCTGAATAATTCTGATATCTGTTTCTTCTAGACATAAACCACTAGGCACTACCACAAACGGAGCAAGCAATAAATATTCTAACAGAGCTCCAACTATAACTACTTAAGAAAATTTTGATGAAAATACCTACCATATCCAGGAATGTATAATCTATTTTAAAAAATTGAAACTCGAGATAAAAAGGCATCATTTTCATCCATAATCCTCTGTTTAACATTTTATGAAAACCTTACACGCCACACATTTAGATTGATCAAACCCCTTATGACTCGACCATGAAACTGTGATGCCACTTGCCGGGAATGACATTATTTAGACAGACCCTGCCATGATGCAGAAGAAAGCTTAGAAATGACCCCCCCCCCCCCCCCCCCCCCGCCCCCCCAATTGCTGCACATCGTGTAATGGTCGGTGTCAAAAATGGCCGCAAGAAATCTAAATCCTAAAAAAGGTAGTAGTACAATTCAAGAAGCTTCATAGAGCTCATTTTTTCGTGAAATTTCATATATAAAGAGGATATATCTCCTATGGTTTGGCCAAGTATTTATAATACATTTTTTTGAACATGAAACCATTAAATTTGAATGAAACCATTACAATAAAGAAACCACTGTTTCTTTTTCCCCTGAAAGATTAAGCAAGTAAACAATAAAATGTGTGTGTGATGAAAAATCAATTGAATTTCACGAGAAAGCACTTTAGAAGCCCCAAATGAGCTGTTGACATTAAGACAGCTTCATATGGTTGTCCTTATTGCTGCCAAAATTGAATTCCCCATCTGCATAGTTTCCATGTGGGTCCCACCCTCCATGGTGCAGAAGGAAAAGTGAAGATACGCCCCGGAATTGATTGGACGATGTGGAGTTCATGTGGTGATTATAACTGGAGGAACAAACTTACTGGTACACTGTGTGGTACTTTAACAAAGTCTATGCTAGCTAAGGAAACAAGGGAAAGTTTAATAGGTCCTCTTTTTGCCTTTTTTTTGTCAAGACTCAAAAAGTGGTCCAAAGATCAATGCCAAATTCAAATGAGATAAAAATAAATAAATAAATAAAAGAAATACAATTTCATTATGTATTTAATTCTTAAAGAGTACATCTATTTGTAAAAACTAAAATACAGTTGAATAAGCAGTTTTCTTCCTAAGAGACAATTGATCTTCTGAAAATAGCAAATCTGTTGTTTGGTTCAGTTTTTAAAAATAATTTTTTGAATTCAGAGAACTGAAAAACGAGAAATGGCACTTAAAAAAAACAAAAAAGTTAGTTCGATTGACAATTATATACAAACTTTAAAAACTGAGTTAAAAGATATATATTTTCAACATCTATATAATAAACCCATGTAACCCATTGATCACTCCCAAGAAAAGAAGTCAGCTAAGGCTTTTCACTTTACAAATATTATTAATCTCTAAATAATTAAGAATAAACTAAGAATAAATTGCTAAAATTAATGACCACTTTGACAACATTATTGTCTAGTGCCTGCCAAGAGGTATTTTTATATTATATCTTTGAGGTTTAATTTTGTTTTACTATAAACAGAGTCAATTTGAGTTTTTTTCCCAAGACACGCATTAAGTGCACAAATGACAAATAAGGCTATGAAACCCCAAAATGCATATTACTTGTGCATGTGGTGTATCAAACTGTAGGATGAGAATCAAACAAAATGTCCACGTGAATCACTGTGTGCAAGGCAGATGCATCTGTAACTAAGAATAGTGTGTGTGTGAGAGAGAGAGAGAGACTCACCGCTCTGCGTTATAAGAGGAGGATCTCTTCAGAGCTGGAAATTCGTCCTTCTTTGTCTCTATCAAGCTCCCACTGAAATACTCTTTGTCCTCCACCATAACCTTTCTAGGGTTTTCCTTTTCCCCCAAAGCTTCTTCGGCCTCCTTCCCGACCCGATTCGACCCGGCACCACGTGGCACCCTCGTCTTGTAGTACGAGATCAACGAAAACCCTTGATCCTTTCCATACCCGGGCCCACAATCCCTGAACGAGACCGAACCGCAGGAAAGCAACTGCATCAGAACTGAAGACGCCTTCATCCGTCCACTTGGATGGCTACTCACCGTCCGATCGTCGTCGACTTCTCCGGACGCGCACAGTGTGAGCCTGCCCTCGGATTTCATCAACGTTTCTAGGGATTCGGGACTCGAATCGGACGGCGGTGGAGTGATCTCGTCTCTGCTTAGCTCTGTGCTCTGGTTCTGACACGTTTCTTCGCTTTTCTTGTCCTTCTCAGGTGCTTCGTCTCTGATGGCTCTTCGCCGGCGTCGTCTGTCGTCGGTCTGTGTCGACGCGTCGGCGGCGGCCCTTCCGGCGTACTCGCCTGTGGAATCGGCCTTGTAGACTTTGTACTCGTGAACATCGATCGCGCTCAATGACTGGTTCCTCCTATGCCTGACCAATGGAGAATCGGAAATTTCTTCGGATTTTCGACTCTCCAGGAAAGAGTTTTTTGAGCCCGAAGACACTGTTTCATCAGATTTGGAGATCAAATTACCTTCAAGAAGCTCCGATCCTTTGAGAACATACTCTTGACCATGTGCTGGGTAGATGAAATCGTTTTCGGAAAGATCATGCCATACGAATCCATTCTTGTAGCTCCTGAATCAAAAAATTCAAAATCAGGAACAGAAACTATATATATATATATATATATATATATATATATATATAGGATTTTAAAAACAGAATAAGTGAAGTATACCGTTTACAAGACCAGGAATACATGGTAGCCATGCCTTGTCCACGGAGCGAGTTCAAGCGATTGATGACATCTGAAAAACAGAGAGATTCAAAGAAGGCGCCGATTAAACTAGTAATCAATTTGATTTGGGAAGATGAGGTGTAAAGCTCCATTTGGTTGCCGAGAAAATGCAAGAAAATATATATATATATATATATAAATAAAAAATAAAAAAATTTCCCATTTAGTTTATCAGTTGTGGTTTTGTTACCTCTGAGAAAGAGACCTTGGGAGGAGGAGAGGGGGACTTCGATGAAGTGAGGGTGATCGAGATGGCCGTTTCTCGAGAGGTAGTAAACAACAGGGACTTTTGTCTCGGCCTTAACCTTATTTGGAGGTTCAATCCAGACTTTGTTCCGTTCGGGACTTGTTTCTCTCTCTTTCCATTTCTTGGACATTTGGAGGTCTGTTGTTCTTCCTCTGGTAGTGACCAACGCCATTTACTCTGCAACAAACTAAGAGAGAGAGAAAACAAACTCCAAAAGTTAATACACAACAAAGAAATGATCAGACGATGTAGCTTAAAGAGCTAATTCTTGAAGTTGAATATCAGATTCAGAGCCGAGTCAGGAATGTTTACCGAGTCTGAAATCTTCAACTCGTTCAACGTGCTTTGAAATTTTTTTTTTAAATGAGAGAGAGAGAGAGAGAGAGTTCGCGTCTAGAAGATGGGCAGGGTGTGAACAGGAGAAAATGTGGACGGAAGGGGGGAGGGAGCAGAGGTTCAACACCGGATGCGGCTATCCATAATAAATGATTTAATAACAAATAAAAGTTGTTTTGATGTTAGTAATCTGCCACTTCTATTATTATTACATTATAGTATTACTAGACACTCCAATATTTTAATAACAGAAAAGAAAGTATTTTTTTTTTATTACTATGCAATCACAAATTAAATTTCTTTTTCGTCAAAAAGGAAGTTTTTTTTTAAAGGCAAATTTGCTTACATACATACATCAATAACAAATCAGATAAATAAATAATTGGTGGTTACAAAAGTAGGTTTTGTGTTTAATGTGATATAAGCATTGTATTAGTTAATAGTTTTTTAATTTGTTTACGAACTAGCAAAAAGTAGTTTGCAAGATTTAAAGATAATTTAAAAATTAATAATCTCCAAATTTTAAAAAAATATTATTATTATTAAGAGGTGACTACCATGTAATGGTGGTTTTGCGTTGAGACAAATACACGGAATTAAAGAAGAAAGAATAATTTGTAGTTTTGAGGTGTGTAGTCACTTTTCTTAATGTGTTATTTGCCCCCACTCTAATTGAGTTTGTTATCGGGTTCCATAGCAAAACACCTCCAGGATACAACAAAGCCGGAATCCGCGGTTAGCAATACAAAAGAATTCCCTTGAACACTCTGTTGAAACTGTTATAAGAATGACTGAATATAGAGTAAAAGAGAATATATTAAAGATTATATTCTTATATCAAATCTGAATTAGCCACCTCTATTTATAAAGTATGTAGGATGTATACAACAGACATGACTCTTGGTGCAGAGGTTATAACTTTTAGTTCCAATTCAAAAGTTATATCTATTTGTAGGAATCCAACAGGCATAACTATGGGTACAAACTCGAGACGTGACTTTTGGTACATTCACTTAACTGCCTTCTTCTCACTCCATATATTCATCCATATATATTTTACAATATATTCAACAATCCCCCACTATATTGTAATATATAACTACTAGTCAAAATTATTGTAATATCATCACGTATACAAGAAGGTATCTCTCGATTTAAACCTTCAATTACTGTAAGCACTTTAAAGTTTTAACGAAGAACAATGGTGGCCGCAGCTTAAACCAAGTCCCCTTAATGTTAAAACCCAAAATACCAAACGCGTGATCATATCCAGTTTATATGAGATGTTCATAATTTATTTAACACTATTATGGCTTGTGCTCATCCTGGTTTCATGAACATTTATAAGAGTAAACCAAAATAACCCTTGCTAGAAATGACACTACTTCTTATGTTCATATAAGAGAAGTTCTAATATGTGTCCCTGCTACTGTAGACACTTCACATTAGTTTGAACTTCTTTAAGAGTACCACTCATCCTCAAAAAACGTAGCAGTCCGCACTGAACATCCTGGAAGGGGCATTGTACAATTGTTTTTCAATGCATGTACAATCACTTATTAGTAACTTGTTATTACCCATTAAACTTTGGACTAGTGGTATTCTAATACAAAGTCGGGTTACCATTATTAGTGATTTCAAGAAAAGGGTTTCAACCTTCATTCCACTAGATGTAAATATTTCACTAGATTTTGATATTGTTAAAATCTACCAAGTCATGACTTACAAAATATATTCTTTAATGTAACCGATTGACATACTTATTTGTCAAGCCAATATGTCTAGACATTTCATTATACTTTAAGTAGAACTAGCATAAACAAAGAAATAGATGGCTCCAGTTGTGGAGTGTAAGGTGTACTTTTCTGATGTATTATTCCATGTTCTTCACAATAATCAGAAAAATTATTAGAAACATATTCACTACCCCTCGCATTACGAAGAATTTTTATTTTCTTTTCCTTTTGATTTTCAATTTCAGCCTTATAACGTTTAAATATTTCAAAAGCTTGATCTTTACTAGCTTTTAGATATACATAATTTTTTTTTTTTTTTTACTAAGAGGTGACTACCATGTAGTGGTGGTTTTGTAATGGTGGGTTTTTTATTCACCAATCCATGAGTCGATTCAATCTCATTCGATTTGCTGGATTTAATAATATAAAATTAGTAGTTTACGAATTGGATTTTGAATTATGCTATTAGAAATCCAATATGTGATATATATATATATATATATATATATATATTAAGAATGTATTAATTAATGATCTCTGTAAGAATATATTACTTAATGTTTATTTAAATAATGAATTAATATTGATAAATTGAAATTTTATCTATTAAGTTATGGTTAAGAAATAACAATATTTGACTATTTGGGGAAATCACAATTCGTGGATCCGATTCCATCCATTATTCCGGGTCCAATCAGTTATCTTACGGATCGATGAAGGATTTAGATTTTTTTAATTGGGATCTGATTTGGATTAATGCGGATCTAATTAGGATTAATGCCTAATCGGATCTCATACATGGCCGCTCCTATTACTATTACGTAGTATAGTCTAGTGGTACTTTCTTACCTTTTAAAATAAAAGATTAAGAGTTAAAGTCCCAAAACGACATGTGGATTGGGGCAGAGCTGTGTACACCTAAAAAAAAACATTTCAGCCTAGAAATCCAGCACAAAGTAAAGCCAAAAAAAAAACAAACAAAAAACAAAAGAACATCAAATTTGAATTTTTATTTTATTTTTTTTTATAGTTTTTACATCTCTTGTTTTAAAAACTTGATTCAAATAACATAATTTTAACCCATGAATTTCAAATCAGAAGATTCAGAACCTAGAAGAATTGAATGCGATTCTGGAATGCACCTGTCCTGTTTCATCATCCTGTCATTTTCTTGAACACGTAAGAGACGTGTTTCTACTTTCTCCAGTAGTTCTCTACATTTCAAATACTTTTCCATTGTATATTTCAAATCACGTCAATTGAGTTGACCATTATTTATTTTATTTTATTTTTAAATTTATTAGCTGCACCTAACATTGACTATACCATGCGATGATTGCGTTATTAAACATCAATTTTTCTCGTTATACCACGTGGCACATATTTCTACTGTGGACCACCCTCGTTGACCACAGTCTCGTCCATCTATCCATCCCACATCAATACGGCAAATCCAATCATACAACCAAATAACTGGACGGTCCAGATCAAGTGAAGACAAGATAGCACGTGATGCTCTATCTTTTCTACCACGTGCGATCAACGAAAGAGAGTAAATATGAGTTGGAGGAGTGCGGGTAGAGATTTTCAAGCATTTAAATCTTGTTTTAATATATTTAATTTTAAATAATAAAATTAATGAGTTAAAATATGATTCAAGTATTTTGAAATTATTAATAATAATAATAATAATAATAATTTTTTTTTTTTTTTTTAACAGGTAAGAAATATTAGAAATCAGACTAATATATGCATATAGTCGATGCTTGGCACTTTAAAACTTATTAGAAGCACTAATTTGTTGGATTATTGAGGCATCTGCTATAAATAGTAATGTTGAAAATTAATTTTAATAAAGTTTAAATATATTTTAACATATTTGTTTTAAATTTTAATCTAAAATTAGTAAAAAAAAATTAAAAAAAATTATTAAATAGTTAAAAAAAGAATTACATCATATTACAGCAAGAATTTATTACATCAGAGCATCTGTAATTGAGTTGGAGATGATAAAAAAGAAGACATGAGCGAGGCTGGGTTCGTGAATTCAATCATGTAAAGTAATACTCCGTGACAAGTTAGAAATAAGTGACCTAACATTCGATTTTAAAATTAAATGACAGAAATACTAGTATTAATTAGACTAGTATGGTACTATGTATTATTTAGTCTAAAATTTCGGCGAAATAGTCCAAATTTCACACATTCCCAGTACGTACAATTTCACGTGCATTGACCCACAATAAAAGTAGGGTCAGCAAAATGTCCGAAAGTTAATGGTTTGGTTCATCTAATGAAGTTTCGGCCCGGCCCACTAAACTTTAGTGAGAGACCTTGGGTCCTACCCTCACGCTCAAGGCCTGATCTCTTAGCCCCTTCCCGTAGTAGCTCGTAAGGTTGGGCTTCCATATTCGCCCCACAAGCATATTAATAGCCCGAACTGACTTGGACCTTTTTTATTTCAAATACTATGAAATTCAAAACTTAAAAAGTAATATGTGTTCGGTACTATGAAATTGGTGTATTAAAAATTAGTAAAATTGTCCTAATATTTTTCAAGTATCAATTTTAAGATACGAACTTCATTCTATCTACCGTACATAGTTTTAAATTTTCTAGTTTACATTTGTATTATGTCATCTTGCATATAATTGGAATTGGAATTGGAATTGGAGATATTAATGTTCTCACTTGATGTGGTTCAAATTTTAAATTAATTTTTCTCCAATTATAATTTCATGGGACAAGTTTCATGCAATGAAAGATAGCATAAATCTAATTCAAAAATTATTTTGTAAATCCAATTCAATAAGATATTATCTTTACTTTTTATTTAAATTTTACTATGTTTGTACGGGTTCGTATAAATTAATTTGTAAGTGTATGTATCTTTACTTTTTCAGCATCAATTTTATATTACCAAACATAGTTTTTATTTTTTATTTTTTTATTTTTATTTTTTATATATATATGTTCCATTACATAGAATTGGAAAAACATTAGTTCAAACTTTAAATTAAATTTTCTCCTATTCTAAAACACTAATTCCATGCAATCAATATAAATTCAATTTAAAAACTAGGGTGAACTGCATTAAGCCCCTTTTTAATTTTTTTTGTCAAAAAACCCCCTTCAACTATCCGAGGGGGTGATTTAATTAACGGAAGTTAGTTGAAAGGAACTAAAATAGAAATTGAATTAAATACCTATCAAGCCTTAACACTTCTAGATATATATATATTTTTAATATGTTAACATTTTACTAGACTGTCGAGGAGAAAAAAAAAAAAAAAAAAAGGTTTTGAAAACAATATTTTATTTAGTTAAAAAAAAAATCTATTTTGTTTGTAAAAGGGATTAAACAATTTTATAATAATGTCATGAAGATTGTCAAGTTCACATTA